AGGAATTCGACTTCTGCATAACTCTTCTTGATTTATAAGCAATCTTGGAACAGGAGTCTCTCTTTGATTCAAAAATTAATTTTTTTTTAATACTCAAAACCTGATTTTTCGCAAATGTGCATTATCGCGCAGCCTTTTGGGGCTTAGCACATGTATTAGTACGCTCTTTTGCTCCTTATGATTCTCTATTATATTACCTGCAATACAATCAGAAAAAATTGAAAAACTTGTTTATATGATATAAAAAAAAACTGACAATATAGGATGCATTATCACGCATATTTTGTGCTAGGTACGCGTACTAGAACGCACTTGTACTTGTACTTTATATTGTTACCCGAATTATAAATATTAAATCTCTTTGTGAAACAGTATAATATAAAAACTGATTAAAATTTTATATAATTAAGTTTTTTTTTCAGTATTAATATATTTATAAATTTATAAAATATTATATATATAATTATATAATATATGAATTACGTACAAAATCATTAATATAATCTAAATTGTTAATATACTGTATAAAATTATTTGCCAATAATAATATTAAAACCGGATTTTATAATAAAGACATTACTTTATACAGTATCAAAGTTTTCGTTGTCCAGTTCGCTATAAAAAGGACATTAAATCTAGAGCTGACTGTTTTATATGCGTACTTTAACACTGCAAAACTAATAGACTACCTTGAAATTTGAAAATAAAATGGTACAAAAAAAAAAATTGATCAAGGTAGAAATAGTCAAACTGCCTACTTATGATTTAAAACATACAAAATTGTTTACTATGGGCAGCAACAAATGTGGTGGGTGAACTTGGCTTTGGAGACGAAGTTGAAGAAATGAAATATCCTAAACATGTTGAAAGCCTAGCTGATTTTCATATTGTGAAAATTAGTTGTGGAAGTCTACATGTTGCTGCTCTAATTCGAGATAGAAAGGTCATCACTTGGGGTTGCAATGATGAAGGTATGGATATATATATGAATTATTAAAATTATGTAGAATATATAAACTGAATTTTTAATGTATTTAAAAAGGTGCATTGGGTAGAGATACAAAAAGTGAAGATAATGCAACCGAAAAGAATGTGCCAGCATTAGCTCAAGGTCTTGATGATGTGATCATTGTCAAAGTCGCTTGTGGTTCAAATATAATGTTAGCTTTGTCTGATCAAGGTCAATTATATGCTTCCGGAATATTTAGAGTATGTAGGTGGTTTTTTTTCAAAATTATGTAAGATAATTATTTTTAAAATAATTTTCATTTTACTTTAAGGATAATAACGGGAATACTGGGTTTACCTTAGCAATTAAAAAGCAATCAATATTCGTGAAATACGGTCCTACTTCTCACTTAAAAATTGCAGACATTGCCATTGGAGAGAATCACGTATTAGTTTTGATGACAAATGATTATTTATATACTTTTGGATGCATAGATTCTTATCAGCTTGGAAGAAGAATATCGATACGTAAGCGCAATCGTTTAATTTTAACTCCTAAGAAAATATCAAGCCGAATTAAGAAAATTTTTGCCAGAGGAAATCACAGTTTTGAAATCAATGAAAATGGAATGATATTTACATGGGGTCAAAATGCTGAGGGTCAGTGTGGTATTGAATTGCCGAATCCTATTATAACTCCAATGAAGTTAGAATTTTTCAAAAACTTGACCAGAGTGAACCAAATTTCTGTAGGGCTTCACCATACGTTGGTCCTTCTAGAAAATAGTGAAGTTTATAGTTACAGTAGTTCTAAATATGGACAACTAGGCATTGATATTTCAGAAGAAAATAGAAAGTTTCCTGTCCGAATTAATCTTAATAATTGCAAAATTATTGTGGCTGGAGATCATTATTCTATGGCTGTCAATTTTGAAAATAAGGTGTATACTTGGGGCTTTGGTAAAACTTATGCTCTCAGAAATCAAAGTGAGAATGACAAGTTATTGCCATTCGAACTTAATGAAAAGTTTGGAGAAATTTTCAAAATTGATGAAGGTAGCCAATATTCGGTTATATTGTCTAGCAATTCATGTTGAGTCAATCATCTAAATCAACGTTTCAACGTTGTTGACACTCTACTATTTGGCAAATGTCCATCACTAATTAATTTTGCTGACGTTTTTTGCCTGCGAAGCAGGCAAAAACGTCAGTAAAATTAATTAGTGACGGAGAAATGTCAAACAGTAGTAAAGGG